GCTGCAGGTTGCTTAGGGCAGAAACGTTACCTCCAGCGCTGCTGCTCGCCCCCCCCGCTGCCCCGGCTTGCGGCTAAATCTGGGACCTGCAAATCCATCGCCTGGACGATGAGCGAGTTGAGGGCCGAGCCTGGAGCGTCACAGCCAGATTCCTTCTGCGTCTGACCCTTCCCGCTAGGCAGGGGCGATGCAGAGCCTCGCTTAAGGGTGAGCTGGCGTGTGCGGAGCAGCCAGGGGCGCCTTTGAGGCAGCGCTGCTTTTGCAGAGGCAGGTGTTGGCAGCCACCAGATTGCAGAGATTTCTGGGTTGGGGTTTGTTTTTTTTTTTTTTTTTCCCCCCAAAAATTCTGAAAAGGTAGGTGTTGGCAGCCACCAGATTGCAGAGATTTCTGGGTTGGGGTTTGTTTTTTTTTTTTTTTTCCCCCCAAAAATCTCTGAAGAGTCTCGTTTACATCCCGCTACACGATAGGGAAAATTTATTGAGAAATTTCCTGGGCTGAGAGTGCCATTTCCTGCCCAGCTGTAGTGTGATAACAGGGATTTCAGCTGCGGAAAGATGCTGATATTTTTTTCTCCTCTTCCAAGAGCCATAGATTTAAGACACGTTTCTCGTGGCGAAATATTTCAATCCTTACGAAGCGGGGAAAAAAGAGCGACGGACGCGGCAGACCTTTAGAGAGCAGCTGGGCAGCAGCGAGGCTTTTGGGCAGCGTCCCGGTACGGGGTATTAAAGGTCGCTCCCTTGATTGGGCGGGAGGTTTTCGAGCCGTCTAGGTTTTCAGGCCGTCCGCGGGGCCCTGGCGAAAGCTGCGCTCGGCCGCAGAGCCGGGCTCGGGGCGAGCCGGCGGCGTGTTTCTCGCGGTCAGGAGCGCTCATGTAAGTCTCGCGCAAATAAACGGTTTTTGGGTCACGCTTGGCGGGAGCAGCGTCTTCGTCACCCTCTGTCGCCTGTCCCGGCCCCGCGTTAGGGGGTGAGCTGTGTCGCGTAGCTTCGTGTGCCGTCGGCTGCTGTTCCTCGTCTTTTACTTGCTTTTTAGGGTAACATATTTATTCCCGGCTCTCCGGAGGAGATGCAGTTACCGTGCTGTTCAGCTGGCTGTGTTTCTTGCTGTCCTATTTTAACGCCTGAGAACGGAGCCGTGCTCATTTTGCTCTTGTGTCCCGTGATTTTGTAGCACCAATTATTGCGTCTTTTTTTGGGGGGCGGGGGGAAGCTCATCATCTTAGAGCAAATTGCCTCTAATCGTAGGTTAATAAAGTACAATAAATAACCGAGCGATGACGACAGAACCGCTCAGGCGTTATAAAGAGCCTAGCAGCCCCAATCGCACCTGTAAGCGGGGGGCTTGGCGCTGAGCCCGCGCTTCGGCGGCGGTGCGGTGGGCCGCGAGCCCTGCGGCTCCT